CCTCAGCACATAAGTAGGGAATAAAGCATTGAATTGAATTATTATCGACCGCCTCTGTGGTCTAATGGTCAGAGTTCCTGGCTACAGATCCAGAGGTCCGGGTTCTATTTCCGGAGCTGCTAGATTTTCTGAGAAGTAGTTGGTCTGGAACGGGGTCAACTCAGCCTCGTGAGGATAACTGAAGAGCTCTTTCAAGAAAATATCGGCTCCGGTCTAGAAAACCGAAATTGACGGCCGTGGGGATTCGTTGCGCTGATTACGCGACATCCTCTATCCTCTAAAGTTGGAACTAACTTCGCAGAGAAGTGGCGGTCACTCGGTCGGTATAGTTCGCTTGCGGACTAATACCACGGAGTTTGTTTTGTATTCTATTTATTATCATCTTCATCATTATCGACAGAGGACTATCATTCTAAAAGTGTTTATGTAAACCGAAAACTACTTTCTCGGAACTTTAGAAGTTAATTGATAGACTACGAATACTGATTGCATGATAGAGCACACATTGGTTCTGATATCAGCCCATTATATTTTGGCTACATAAGGTCAATATATATGCTCCCAGCGGGAGGAAAAGACCTGTGATCATAATACCGATGTCTTTATTCACAGATCCAGTTTATGTAATGATAAAGCCCTCTGTAAAAAGCTAGCAGCCGAAAACCCAATATATCAGCTAGCAGCCATGTTTGGGACCAATCCGACGCTGTGTTTAGTGACTTGTTGAGTTGATCTCAAGAGATTCACTTTGCCTTTGTGTAATGCAGTTAACGAGATTGAGGTTTCACTGCGGGAAAGAATCTGTTTAGTCAGCAACTGTGTTTGCGTTACCAGTAAATTGTTATCGACACAGATGAAGCCAGGCAAAGAAGTAACCCAATACGCACACACATACACAAAGGTTGTCATCTGTGTGTTTTGCCACCGCGAGATGTGATTCTGCGGGCGGAACGCGGGATTATTTTTCAGATAAATATTATTGTGTTTGCATTGTGCCGTCCCTCCATCTGATCAGGCTTATCGCCTACGCTCCTCGTGCTAGAACATGCTGCTGCACAATTTCGCTTGATGCGCCGACAAAACAGATTACTTAACTGATTGATCATACGTTTCACTACAGTAATTTATGGGTGTTCAAATCTGGTTACATTTACGTAGTTAATTTTTTTTCTCTGTGGCGCTACAGCCCCGATTTGGGCCTAGGCCTACCTCCATGAAACTCTCCGTTTCACCTCGGTTTACTAGATCTTACACATTCGGTAGGACTCCTTGGGCGAGTGATCAGCTCGTCGCAAGGCCTCTACCTGTAGACAAACACAGAAAAACGCATACAAACTTCCATGCCCCGAGTGGGATTCGAACCCACGATCCCGGCTTCCGAGCGAGCGAAGACACTGCATGCCTTAGACCGCTTGGCTACCGTGACCGGCAGTTAATTTATATCAGTCCACGTACTTCACGTGTAGTTAAATTTGGTGAATTGAGTAGATACTAAATGGGTCTGACAGTAGTACACACACTCGAGATTGCTGGGGGATTTACTCTGTCCATCGTCCGGTATACCAAAGAACACAACGTTTCGGAAACTGGACCTGTTTCCTTCTTCAGGTGAGGGGATGGAAGACACCTATTCTGGTGGGTACATTAGAAAGGTACATTCAATCATGGATTGGTAAAATTTTATGGTTCATGATTCTTGCTAACTGAATACTCAGGAGATCTAACTTTCCTAAAGAAGGGTATATATAGGGTCCATGTAGGCCCTACGAGTAGATTCCAAAGGGTTCTGGCGGCGGTGTATAGCACGTGAGATTACTGGGTGCAGTGATTGAGGTTAGCTCTTTCTAAGGAACTCAACTGAGTAAGTTGCCCCCCCCCCCCCCTTATCTGAGGACAGAAACAGATTCTCTTTCCAAAACGTGTTCTTTAGAGTACCGAACGATGGACAAAGTCCAAAAATCCAGTAAATTAGGTTTTTTTTTTAAATTTCGCTTAGTAGGGAGTGGAGTCCAACTGGGTCCACCCAGCAAGGCGGCCACTGATTGGCTTATTGTAGCCTGCCCCGGGTGATTATCATGATGGAGAATTTGGTGGAATGATGGTTGGCAAAGGAAACCGAAGTACTCGAAGAAAACCCGCCCCAGCGCCACTTTGTCCACCACAAATCCCACTTGACCAGACCAAGGATCGAACCCGGGCCGCCGCGGTGGGAAGCCAGCGACTAACCGCTTGAGCTATGACGTGGCCTTTCAAGTTAGGTTACATTGAGATGGTTATTTTTGTTATGCTTTAATATTTTCCTTTAAAATGTGGTTCACTTGGATTACTTGGGCTTTTTCCCTTATACATTTGACTCTTTAATTTTACTTTTGGTAAAATCAGGTGACCCTGTGTTTGGTGTATGATCAGATTTCATGATCCTGCTTCCTGGGAACTTCAATCGATTCACGCTAATGCGGTTTATTTCCTAATTTCATGACATTGCTTTCTGGGTTATCAAACTGAGCAGCATTCTGTTACTTTATATTAAGTCAGTGGCCTTATTTATAACATGATCAGTTCCACTGATCCGGTTGCATTACTGTTTCCGAAGTCTTGCTGTGCGGAGGTCAGTTCTGGTTATGTGATCTGTCTGATTTATAAGTTCAAGGGTTTTGTGTACGTATTGAATCGTGGCGGGTTAATGTGTTGTATTATTGATTTCATTCTGACTTGTTTATTATGCTGAGCTTCAAAAATGGCTCAATATAAGACAAATTATTATAACATTTTGGAAAATAAATCTAATGTGTATTACGTCGACTTGGCTCAGATACATCTCCTGCGGCAGGACCTTTTTTGTGTCTTATTTTATTTAACAACCGATCCCCAATTATATATGTTACGTAGCGTTGAATGGTAGGATGCGTGTGAAATATGAATTGGGAAAGGTTTATAAAGAAACGGTTGACACGTGTTTGAAGGTGCTGTTCCAATATTTATCTTGGTAAAGGTAAAGTTGGCCGGTCACGGTAGCTGAGCGGTCTAAGGCATGTACTGTCTTCGCTCGCTTGGAAACCGGGATCGTGGTTTCGAATCCCACTCAGGGCATGGACGTTTAGTTTGTGTGTGTGCGTTTTTCTGTTTTTGTGTACAGTTAGAAGCCTTGAGACTAGCTGATCACCCGCCCAAGGGGTCCTACCGAATGTGTAAGATCTAGAAAAACCGAAGTGAACGTAGTTCATGGAGATAGGCCTAGGCCCACTGGGGCTGTACTGCCAAGAAAAATAAAAAGGTAAAATTGTCCTTGTGCTTAACAAATTAAGCACTGCGCCATGAAGGTGTGTGGGGGAGTGGATGTACAGATCTATATTTTCTTAACCTCGCCACTAACTGAAGGTTTGTGGTCAGCTTCACACCCCTGCTACTTTACCCCCAGGTAAAGAGCTCCCGGTACCCATGGAATAGGAGGCTGGTTTGGCCCCAGAGCCGGTCTGGACGATATGGAGAAAAGAAAATTATGAGCTTACTGGGATTCAAACCCCGACACCTCGGTCCAGCATGTGGACAGTCGCTTTACCGACTGCGTTATCCCGGCTCACAATTATTTGTCTGGTTGGGGTGACAAAAGAACAAAAATTTCGAAGTTAAAATGACTAATCACAGATTCAAGAATCAAACATTGGTCCTCCTGGATACTAAACAAGAAGCTAGTCTCTGGACCTCAACTGCAGTCAATCAAGAAATTCACCTTCTTACATGGAACTCGAAGGTTCATTATCATCTTCACAAGTGCACTGCCTCCTCACTTGCTGAGATTTCCTCCCAAACATTTGCATCCACCCGATGATGGTCAGTATTGCATTCAAGCCGCATCAATATAATCGCCTTAGGCTCTCAGCCTCACTGTGCAAGCAAGGATCTTGCATGTCATATGTGATCAGCACTTGGCTTGAATGTCCCCGAGGAGCACCCCAATATCCCATTCTTATCTCTAAATCTTTAGCATTTTAAAAAATTGTGACAGTGTGGAATATGTATAATGCACCTAAATATATTTTTATCAATATAATGATTTATCCTTAATTTATTTAATTACTCCTGTATGAAATTCCGATAATATGCGATAAACCTTCTTGGAATCGTCCTAGATGGTGTATAATAAAGCATCGCGTAATGGAAAAAGAAACAGTTGAAAATTCAACGAGAATTCTGCCGTAAAGTTGCGAATCTTTTCCTTTTCCGTCCCTGCTTTCCCTCCATCACCCTTTCGCATGTATTCTACTTGTAACAGATGTCAAGGTATGTGTATGCGGATGCTATCTGACTGTTAGCACCATCTATCAGACACCGAGAGTAACTACATCCTCTGTGAATGCGTAACATACGGATACACACGCAGCCAATCGTAAACCGTTATGTACTCCATATACTCGTACTACGCCATTCCTGAAATTCTCCTCTAATTTTTTTATTGCTAGTGGAGTGGGACTATGTCCCTTGTACTGCTGCCACTTCTGGCCTATTGTACCAGCCCCAGATGATAGGTGAGGGTGATTGTGGAGCAATTGGTGGAATGAAGATTGGCAGGGGAAACCGAAGTACTCGGAGAAAACCTGCCCCAGCGCCACTTTGTCCACCACAAATCCCACTTGATCAGACCTGGGATAGAACCTGGGCTGCCGCGGTGGGAAGCCAGTGACTAAGCGCTTGAGCTATGGCGCGGCCAAATTCTCCTCTACGTTTCATTCTAGATTAGCTATAACAAGCGCTCTTCCAATTAGAAAGCATGCCCTGCCAATGTCTACGTTACTCACTACAATGATGGTGTTTACAGACATTGGTAACTGATGCAATAATTTTATTGAACTACAAAATAACAAATAAAAACTAAATTCTTATCTGCTTTTCTTCACTCAACTTTGCAGATAATTGAGATTATTCGAAGGCAAAAGTGGAAAACAATTCAGAAACAGACAGCATTCTCTGAAGACCTCCAAAAACAGTAAGAAAAATCTAACCTGAGCCGCCATGACCCGCTGTCTCTCCGCTATAAGGTTGCATTTTGCACAGACGCAAGACTTGAAGCGACATTGCCGCTTGTGGCCCTTCAACCAGCTAATCATGCCATGATTCCTGCAACGGGCGCATTTGGGACGCCTTGCGCCCTTCTCCGTAGTCGGGTAACTCGTGGCGCCAGCTTGGGGCTGCAGCAATCGTCCGCTTGCGGGGCCGCGTGCTCCTGGACTCAGCATCCGGGACCACCCTGTAACATTCCGCTTGTGGACAAGGAGTCGCAAACCTAAAATTATCATATGAATTGAAACATAAGGTCAGGTTGAAGCTGTTGCCAGAGGCTGAAGCAACAGTAACACTTCCAGATTCCATGTCTGACGTCAACCGAAAACTTATCGTCATCTTCAGTAATAATAATTTATATAAATGTAGGAGTATTGAGATATTATCTGTACTTTTTTTATCGTCATATGCAAAAATTACTGATTGAAGTAAATGGGTGCTATGTGTTTAAACTTGCGTTTATTGTTCAGTAGCCACTGATATCGGTACAGGGCTCTTATGCTATTTATCATGCATTCCTCATTACATTTACGTTTCTCCTTAAGAGTCAGTCATATGAGCACAGGACTTGGGTATTTGTATCTTATTGACTTCATGATTCTCTTCAGTACTCGCTGATACGAGCATAGAATTGCTATGCTATATATTCCACATTTCTTATTACTAAATTTGTCATTCTCTTCATATAGTCACTGATGCAGATACAGAATGTCTTAGCATTCTAATCTATAAGCTTGACGGTCTCGTTACTCAGGAATCATACCTCATAAATTCTTTGCACAACATATCATGCATTGTATCTATTGTTGGCATTGACTACTCTTCTTCGTCACAGAAGACTGAAATATCATTACGTTACTGTATCACAGGCGGGAAAGAAAATTGTGACGTAATGGAAAAGATTTTTAAATCAATAAATGTTACTCTTCAAGAGGACAAGAAATAACTTGTGCAATAATGTAATTAACTCATTGTGTGAGTGACTGAAAAGTACGGTAAAGTAAATCTATCACTGTAACAGGCCGTGAAGGCCCATAGGGTTGTGAGACGTCGGGGCTCCCACATTTTCTCCAGGCAATTGGCTCACAGATGGCGGTAAGTTTGCCAGGCTTACGCGCCGACAACCCTTTACCCCCCCCCCCCATGAAGATTCCTGGTGCTCAATTGTGTCAGAGGCTGAGTCGACCAAAAGGCCATAATGAGGCTGGAAGAATTAGGTAAATTGATAAAAAAATCCACCTCGTCGGGACTCTAACTCGCTACCTTCCGGCTTGTAGCATAGTGTCTGAACCAACTACACTATCGTGTGTCCAAAAAGTACGGCGCTTATATAATTAAAATGGTTTTAATTTGATGGTAAGTATAATTTTGTGATCCATTTATCTCAGGTCGCCCAATTTCTGGCAACT